CTCGTAAGAGCGCACCCCACACAGCATGGGGCAGCAGGGCCTGACCCCGGTCGCCTGGCACCCACACTGCCACTTTCCCATTGTGCATGTGTGGCAAGGGTTGGCAGGGCACTGCGCAGCTCCATGCGCTGTCGGGCCACCGGGGCTGCTGCGACTGTCACCCAGACCCCACGATGCGGGGGGGGCGGTGCTCTGCCACATGGCCCCAGGGACCCTGATGAGAGCTGCTACTGCCAGCGAGTGCAGGTTTTTTTTAATTGCCAAGATGCTGGGGCTGGGCAGGGCAGCTATCAAGGGAAGTCAGAGGTCAGAAAGGGGATGGGGGAAATGGGCATGGCAGCGATTGGGGGAAGCTGGGGGGGTGGGCAGGGCCAGCAGGCCCCATGGTTCCCTCCCCCCTCCTCCAACCATGCGTATGTACTGGCAGGAGCCCGGGTCCAGCTCCCAGCAGCTGGCATGCTGCCTGCACTGCATGCGCAGGCAGCGTGCTTCAGCACCAGGGCAAGGGTCAGCCATAGAGATGCTCTGGCTGGCTACCAGAGTGTTTCTGTGGGGGACTGAGCCTCCAGTTGCCTCAGGGCATGGTCCATGATTGTTCCCTGCCCCACTTTTCCCCGCCCCCCCCTGCATTTTTTTTTGATCTCTGGATATCCAGGGGTCTAATTTGGCCCCCGTGCTGCACATCTGCAGCGCAGGGAAGGTTTTTTCATTCCTGCACGTGCCTCTTGCAGAGTATCAAAGGGCTTTGAGATGCTGTGAGAGGCTCATGCGCACTTGTGTGGATGTGTCCACGGCGTTTTAAGAGGCACTACTGGTTCCAGTTAATTGAAAAAAGAGTGTTTGCAATCCTTGACAACTTATTTTGGAGCAAGTAAAAATGTTTGCATGATGCAACACAGGGGGCAGGGAGGGGAAGGAAAGAAAACAATTTAATTCAGAACACAGGTAAGGCTGCCACTTGAACAGATAACCTTATTCAGCAAATGCAGTAGTTGTCTCCATCAGATAGAGGATGAAACTGTGTAATACCAAGTTTAGTATGCTTTATCTACACTACTTTCACTAATCCAACCCTGACAGGACTATAGGCTTTCCACAGCTTTGAAACAGCTTCCAACTAGCTATCAGTAAAAAACACAGAAATCAAACACCACCCTTCCCCCACCAAAAAAACAAAACCAAAAAACCCAAAAATGCTTTTCCTCCCCTTCAAATGCAGAGTACCTCCTTCAAAATTACCATGACGGAAGGTCTCTAAAGGCAGTATTGAGTCTTCTAACACTGACAGGTTTCCCATTCAATATATTGTGACTCACTGTGACACTGATAACAAGAACAATTACAGAGCCAAAAGCCAAACAATCCCCATAGTATTTGATAAAAAGATATTTTAAAACTAAATTTGTTGGATAACTGAATACACATCTAATATAAGCAAATCTCTCCAAAAAAGGCAATTTTCATAAAAGGTCCAGATTTTAAAGACAAGTGGAAGACATGCCTAAGAACTCCACATTTCTACCATGTTTCTAATGTTAGTATGTGCAAGGCTGTAAGAGCAGAATTTATCCTTGCTTGTTCCAGTATAATTAATGGAGTAAATTAAATAATGCCGTAGCAGCCTCGTGTCCGCTTTTTTCCCACTGCCCTTAGTCCTCTTGAAGAGTATGGGACTAACAGTCCCGCAAACCAAAGATTTATTTACAGAGCAATCATAGACTACAACAGTGCAAGCTTTCCCAACAGGGCATACCTGTAAGGATAAGACTATCATTCATTTTCAGTGAACACTTCATTTTCTGCCTTTCTTGTAGCAAAATATCTACTACATTAATATCACAGTTATGACAATAGCTAAAACAAGAGAACTACAGACAAGGATGTTAATTTATTTTCAAGTCCTGATTCACCAAAGCCAAAACCAAGAACTAGACAGGGATTCCTTTTATCTGGCACACAGACCACTCAAGAACTTTACTAATAGGGACTGGATCTGAAACAGTAGAGGTAGAAGATACACTATCACCAAAGATGCATACCAAAATGGGAGTAATGCTGCCTCCTATGTAAAGTGCCCTCAGGTCTAATTATTCATAGTGCTCAACAAAAATGTATCATTTACATTGATTTCACTGTAATATATTTGCAAGTCATGAAATTTTCTTCCATTCAGGTTAGAAACATATGTATTTTGAATGCACAGGGTATGAGGTCTTCTTCCTGTGTCAAGGTGAAAGGAAAAAACAAATTTTGATTTAAAGGACCCAGTCTCATAAAAAAATGCCAGTGGGCTTTAAAGAGTCCTCGTAATCAGTTTACATTACTTCACAAACTTTTATAATTTGTCTTTGCTTCCTTTCCCACTTAAAACTGGCCATAACATAATATAAAATCAGTCACACTAGGTAAAAAGTCTTAAAGTAATCATTGGTGGGAACGTGCACCTCATGTCTGTCGCCCAATTAAAATATATATAAATGGAAGGTGCATCAAGGAGAAGAGATTCAAAACAACTGGAGAAATAAAATAATTGTCCAGATCACTAATTAAATATGACATAAGAAAAAAATCAGATAAAATTACTCAGACACTATGATTCCTAAATGGTTTGTGAGGTACTGTTCCAGAAGGCTGTGTTACAATAAGTGGCCTTATTGATTTTCCATCTTGCCCTACCTTTCCAGGGGTAAAGTACTGAATATTAACACAGAGTGATCTATGACAACTAATACAATTATCTGGGTTCCAAGGTTTGTAATCTTGAACCAACCAAGTGCTATTTTTTAAATTTAAGGAGTTATTAGATGTTTACTTCTCTTGAAACGGAAACTTCTGCATTATATTTTGTATGTATAAATCCATGATAGATATGTCTTCCAGTCATCAGTTTCTATAACCAGTTCTCTCTCTTATTTTTGTTAAATCAGATAAGCAGAACTAAAAAAAATACTTTCTTCAAAATGCTAATATAAATTTATGCTGAACTTGATTTTCAGTATGTGGGAAATCTTGATTTTTTTTTTATAAAGCATCAGCCTAATTAGAGCAACATGTGATGATAAATATGAGACAGCGTAAAGATGAATAGGTATTCATATTTTGCATATCTATCTGAACTATGAATTTCAAAGTAAATCTAGCTCAGGGAGATTCAAGCCATTTTCTTACAAAATCAATTTAACACATTGCAACATTCACAAGAAACATCCACAAAAAGTTTTATCTGCACATCTGATACACAAAAGATTTCTGAAACACTCCTGCACATCTGACACACAAAATATATGAGTAAAACCACTTTTTTTTTTTTTTTTTTTTTTTTTTTTTTTTTTTTTTTTTTTTTTTTTTTTTTTTTTTGCGTAAAACCCACATTTCAAGTCTGTTTTACAACTAGATCTCAGAGCATTCATACCATAGAAAGACTGCTTTAACAGTGTTTCTCTTTCTTGCATATAAATGTGCATATAGGCTGCAAATCCAGAGTCCGACTTGTCTTGTTGATGCTTACACTTCAGTCATTTCAAGGACCACCATTAAGGGAATTACCTTTTAGAAAGTCTGTTTCCTTGACCATTTTGACTTCAGATGAGTGATGTCTATATAATTCTAAAAACATACCATACTTCTGACCTGCTACATAAGAAAATTAATACCTGTTCTTTTACAGAAGCCAGAATGGTTGTGGCAGTGGTCTCTGATTCCATTCCTGGGCCTGATGAAATTTCCTGGGTGGTCTGCTGGAGCCCCTCCTCCACCAAAGGGGTCTGCTCAGGAGCTGGCATATTGCCTGCAACCAAAAAACAACATACCAGTTAGTATTTTCAGTAGATGAGTTTAAATAAGCACAAGACTTATCAGAAGTTTAATATTAAAACAAAACAAAAAAACCTTGCAAAGTTTATATTTTGATATTTGTACATGCTGCTATAAAGATTTTGCTTCTTTGGCTATTTTAAACTAGAATGATGTTTAAGGCCTTAAGGTCAGGAAGAAACCAATTAGAAGACACAAGTTTAAAAGTCATCTTAAAAATAAATGCTTAGAAAATGACACTTTAGGATACCAGGGAGCAAAATGCAAGCACTTTTTTAATGACATAAATGCTGAACGTCAGAAGTCAACATCAAACAAGTGGAGGCACATTAGAAATTTATCAGACTAGCACTTGTCAATAAGGAATAACAATAAAGTATCATGAAATGAGAGCGTTTTACAGCTACAAAATACTACGAAGTACTCTAGTTATTATTGACAACTAATTAGCTCTGTCAGCACTATCACAATTTTTGCAGAATAAGAAAACGTAGTAGTTAGTTGAACTGCTCTAGGTTTGTACACAGCAAGAGAGGCTGACAGACCTCAGATTAGCATTCAAGAATTCTAAGGCTTGTGATGTCTAAGGCTGGAGAGTCTAAATCGGTGTTTCCCAAACTTATTAGACTTAAACTCTAGGGACAGACATTCAGAAAGCCCAAGCCTGAATTGATTCAATCTTTGCAAGTTAGTTTAACCTGTGTAGACTGAACCGTTTTGCAAGTGAATAGACATTCACTTTTGATTCCAGAAATGCAGGCACATGACTGCAGTGACTCTGGCTAGAAGCCAGGGGGTGCTAGAGCAGCCCTCCCTTTCTCCTCATAGCAGCGGCAAGGCTGGAGGGAAGCTGACCTGGGGGGTGTGGCCAGGTTCCCCCCACCCCCGCCGCCAGGGGCTAAGTATGATTGGGGAGGGGTTTAAGCCTCCACCCTGGCCTGTAGGGACCCCAGCAGGGGTGTGCCTGGAGGGGGAGGGGGGAAGCAGCCCTTGCCAGGCTTGTCCCCAAGGCCAGACACCCGCCTGGGCAGCGCCTCAGGCGAAGGGGAGCCAAGTAGGGCATTAAACTCCCACGTCTCCCCTCACAGGCACTGGGACCCCAGCTGAGGTCTGCTTGGATTTCCCCCCTGCTCATGTGGAGGGGAGCCTGGCTAGAGCTGGCCCACATAGCCTTTGCCATCCGGCCGGGGCTGGGGGGCTGAGACGAGCTGGCCTGCAGACGCTGCTGAGAGCAGACACAGAGTGGCTAGGCCCTTCCCAGTGGGCTGCAGCTCAGGCTGGGGCTGTGGGAGCTGCGCAGCCAAATTGCTCCCAGCTCCCTGTACCTAAGCTGGCAGGCCCTTCCCAGCCAGCTGCGACTCCATGACAGCCCAGCCTGGCAACTTGGGCTGTTGGCTGGCCAGGCAGCAGGTGGGCAGAGAAGGTGGAAGGCATCCAGGAGCTGAAGCCAGAGAATCCATGCACTGGGAAGAAGCTGCAGGGCTGAAGTTTCCACCTGCCTGGAGCAGCGCTGCACAGCGTGGCAAGAGCAGGAGCTGTAGCTGGAGGTGAGGGGAGCAGAACAGCCCTGCTGGGCCCAGCCAGTGAGCAGCTTCACCTCACCTCCAGTGGCTCCTCCTCCTCCCACTCCTGCCCCTGCTGTGCCGCTCTGGGCGGTGGGGAGAGGGTGGAGGTATAGCTTCAGCCTGGCAGCTTCTGCCCAGCGCATGGAGATCTGGCTCCAGCTCTTGGCCAACTTCCACCTACTCTGCCCACCCGTGGGGGCTGCTCATTGTGCTGGGCAGGTGGAGAGGATGGAAGGCACAGATGGCATAGGTGGGCCATGGAGGTTTTATAGCATGCTAGCTGGGGGCTCTCAGGAAGGAAAAAGAAAAAGTGTTGAAAACCCTTTATCTAGAGCAAAACTTAGATTCCAGAACAACTAAGCAGCAGTGCCAGGAACAGAAAAGGATGGAATTTCCAGTTTGTTTTAATCCCACCCATCCTCTCTCTCTCTCATCTCAATTATATGCTGATTCTATATTTAACATTTCAAAACAAAAGTGTCTCTATATAGGAATGTTTAAGGCAGGCATAAGCAATAGAAGAGGCTCACAAGAAGTGTGAATTTATTGTAGAAGTCCCAGAAATGTATTTTGTTTAGAAAAGTAACTTAGTTGAAGTGATCTCTTGTGAGAACAACTGCAAAGAACAATTTTCCAACTATTGAATTGGTCTAATAAAAGATATCACACGTATCTAAAGAACCTTGTCTGCTCTTGTGAGCTGGTAATTTTAACTGGTTTACTAAAGACCTCAAAAGGCTGTGAACAGACATTCAGGTTCTCCCAGGAAAACAAGTGTACAAATGTTCAGGCTTTTCCTCCCAGAGTAAAAATGGCCAGTCCAAGAGAAAAACAGCTGGGGAACTACTGTGGTTAAGCCACTCCCGGGACAGTGAACATGTGTACACTCTGTGGCTTCTCTCAGAATATAACACAGTCCTCCAGAATCCACTCCACTAGAATACTGCTAGTGGAATTCAACATCCACATCTTTAAACATGAGGAAGCAACAGAGATACCTTTTCAACAGTATGTCACCATCAAATATATATATAAGAAGAGCTAACCCCCCAAATACATAAGTTTTTAAATAAAGAATCGTGATTTACAAGACAAAAGTTAGGCTTTTCTATATATCTTCTGGTTTTTGAATCTTTTGAACAAAGATCCCTAGGTCTATGACTATAAGAATCAAAACATCATTTAGAAAACCAAAAATACGAAGCTCGGCAATCTCATGTAATCACTTGTCTCAACAAGATGCATGTTAGAAGTGGAGAGTTAACACCACCGAATATTTGTCAGTAATCATCTATGCACAGTGGGACAGGAGTGAAAAACTGAGACTGAACATTTCCCTTTCCTAATGCATCCTTTTAGGTCAAAGTACTTTATTAAGTGGTCTATATCAATGTTTGACATTCAGTCCCAGGGCTCTGCAAAGTGGTGGCACTAGCCAGAGTCAGTGCAGACATGCCAGTGAGCTCAGACGATTCCCTATTACTGCATTATTCGTTCATCCAACATGGTGTTACTGTTAAAGGACTAAGGGGAGAGTTCAGCAAAAAGGTTTGGGGTTCAAAGAGAAGAACAGGAAGTCCACCATGTTAAATCTTAAGAAACAGGGGTGGGTTAGACAAGTACATCACAACCAGAGTTGGTGATTATTCTGAGCAGGGTCCAAAACTGAAGTAAGCCTGGTGCTAGGGAGGCACACAAAAATGTCACAACCCAACCTTTAAAGAAATAGTACCCCATGCACCCATACAACAGTTAACAAACAATACCATGACACATCATTTTTGCTTTGCCGGAGTACCAAAAAAAAAAAAAAAAAAAGAATGTGCAGATGGGCAAGGGATACAGCAAAGAGAAGAGATAAGATAGACACAGGCATTATGCTGTCCAGGGCATTTTGGAAAGGGACACAGAGCTGAAATTTAATTCAGAAGGCTTAAGAGAATTCAAGACTGCAAAAGGAATGTGGCAGAGTCAGAAAATGGGGCTAGTTGCATAATACTTAACAGCAGTAGTTGTATAGATCAGGGACAGGAATAGAAAGGAATAAATGAAATTGCAAATTTATTTATTTTTTTTTTTACTTATGCAAGACAAATGCTTTAAAAAAAGTCATATAAATGTGCACAAGCACATGCACACACACACATGCACACTGCCACCCCTCCCTCCCCCAGAAAGGGCAACAGGATTGAAATAGCAAAATAAAAAATAAAATACATAAATTACAATGGAGTTCCAGAGCTGAAGAGTGAAGTGAGCGGACTTACTAGGTTTCTGCCACTGCTCTCCATTCCACCTTTGAAATCAGGATTTCCAGATTACATTTACCAATAAAACCAAGTCCTGGTTTCGTACTACTTCTACTGTAACTAAGGCAAGTCTTGAGTGTCAGACAAAACCCTCAAGAAAAGATCGGCAAGCAATTCCTTCCCCTTCAACAAGCCCATGTAATACTGCAGTAATGTCAAAGAAGTGTCATATCAGAATCTGCAAACTTTAGCAAGGAAATAAGTGCAAGCTGACTCAGTATAATCAGGGGAAAAAAGCAAGACATTGGCTTCTGCAACACGCATACAGTATCACAGATCATCCTTTCCAAACTATATTGCACATAAAGTATTGGCGCAATTCAACCTTCTGTGCTCCAAATCTTCATTTCCAGTGAAATGAACCCAACAATTGTTTAAGTATTAAGTTTAATCTCCATAGCTTATAAAAATGGCTAAGCAGAAGCCAACTAGAGACCAATAAAGAAGACACGCCTTACTACAACAGGGAAACACCTTGGATGCTGTTGGCGATCTGCTGTCCCATAGTCATGCCACAAACAAACTACTTGCTCAGTGTCCTCTGTTATTTATAGAGCTTGTGTCAGTTCCCCAAAGAAAGCTTCTTAGTCTAGGTAAAAAGTATTATTTTACTGTCTCTGTTACGGTATAACTTCATAAATCTGGCACGCTCGGAAATTTGAAAATGCTGAATTTTTAAACTGGTGCAGCAGCTGGTCGCAGAGTGGGGGAGGTGGGTAGTGGCAGCCAGTCCCGGAGCAGCTGCTGCATGTGGAGCAGCAGCGCGGGGTGGTGAATGGCGGTGGCAGCCACCGCACACAAGCTTCCCCCTCCACGTCTTGAGAAGTGGCGCCCTGTCCCTGAACAGTAAGGGGAAGTGATGGATTTTTGCTAATTCCAGATTTTTGATATCCAGATTTATGAGGTTATACTGTAGCAGAAAGTCTACTCAAAAGGGAACCTAGGCCTGGCCTATGCTAAATGAGTGCTGTTGGTAAAACTATGTATGCAACTCTCTTGGCAGAGTAACATCAGCTCTCTAAGCATCAAACCACTTGACAGGCACCTGAAAGACATGTATACATGTCTACCTAGTGTTTCTGCCATGCTGCTGCA